AAAAATAAAAAAAATAAAATGTGTGTTTAAAAAAAAAAAAGTTTCAAAATTTTTTTTTAAAATTTTTTAATAATTATAAAATATAAAAGAAAAAAAAAAAAAAAAAAAAAAGAGAAAAAAAAAAAAAAAAATCTAAAAGTGTTAATATTAAAAATCTCTGGAGACACGACGGTAAACCATTTCCTGAATTGAGTAGAAATTCACGCCTCTCTTACCTTAACAAGAATCTATCGACACAACGCTTGCAAAGCAGGTATTTGATAATTCAAAATCCCGAGCCTGAATTCTTTTTAACCCTTCTTCAACCCTTTGACAATTTAATTCCTTTAGACCTTGTCATCAAAATACAAACATAATAAACGTAATATTATTTAATTAAATATCAATCATTTCCCTCTGAAGAAGGGTTCCTGCAAGCTGTTGGTTAACATTCCATGAACATATAATAGATACTTTTGAAAAACAAACACCAGTAAAATTTTTTCTTACATTTCATATATAAAGCGGAAAATTTCTCTGCATTTTTTTCGCTTTGGCTTTTTTTTTCAAAAAGCACGGGCCCAAATAAACTTTCCTAGCCTTTAAAATAAGGTGTAAATTTCAAAAGTCACCAGTAAAACATTGGAAAACCTATCTTTAAAAAGTTTTTTTTTCGCTGTGCGAGAACATTTTTTTTTCCTTTGTCATAATAACGAATCGGTTGAACTTGCATATTAAACGTAAACTTTCAACTTAATAATGTCGACTGAAGTCATCATCCCGGGAACAGGGTCGGAACAAGATTCAACTATACCAGCAGAAAGTATTGTTGATGGAAAAGATTTGACTACTCCAGTTCAAGAAGAGTTTTCAACCACTACTGTGGACAAGATTAAACAAGATGATATCTTGGAGACACCACCTTCTCCTGGTTCGTTACAAAATCCACCTCCACCTTACTCACAATGGGATCAACTCAGTTTAGAACAATTACTTGAAAAGAGTAAAGAGGTTCTCACCATGACTAACGGTGGTGAACAAAAGGACGGTAAAATGCTTGACAAGGTAAGAAGTCCCCCTCGAGTACGTGCCAACAATTTTCATACTTTGATGGCATTTGCATTTTTATTCTCACTTGCTAAATATTTCGATGATCGCGAAAAGCCTCGTCTCGAAATTTTTAAGCGGACAAATGACGTAATGCTACCCGAGATTAAATATCTGGGTTTATAAATATTTTATTATCATTATTTATTAACGTTAAATAAAACTTTACTCGATTTATTAGATGACCCAATTAGAATCTCTAATATCATCATTACAAGCTATTTTGAACGATCAAACGTTTGCCATGCATGGTTTGAGATCGCAATTATCAGAGTTAGTACATTATATTTTCTTTTTTGCATCAACAATTTCAATTTAATAATTATGCATACTAAATAATAATTAATAATAATTAATAATAATGAATAATAATGAATAATAATAATAATATTATTATTATATTATTATATTAGCATTCAGACGGTTCTCAAAAAAATGCAAGACAAACAGGAAACTATAACTAACGAAGAAGTAATGAAACAAGTGGTTACGATGAAGGTATTATGATTATTTTGAATAAATAAATAAATATGAAATAAATATGAATATTTATTTATAAAATTAATATCATACTAACCTGTTTATTCTTAAGGCCCTTACTGAAAATCTTCTCGCATCGAACGAACTCAAACAACAATTTGACGCCAATGTTGCCGCAGCCATGGCAGTGGCTACAAATGTTGCAGAAAATACACAAAATGTAGAAGAAGTGATATCTGTTTCTCAACCACCAACCGAGCAAAACGATATAATTCCTTCACTTCCTTCATCAGAAAATTTGAACTCACCACCTACCACTATTCAACCTACACCATCTTCTCGTCAAACTTCTAGAGTACCATCTCGTGCACCGTCCCGTGCTCCATCTCGTGTTCCATCCAGAGCTACTTCTCGAGCACCATCAAGAGCACCATCATCTTCTAGACCAGTATCTCGTACTGTATCGCCAGCCCAGACTCCAATCTCGTTATCGAGATCATCGTCTAAATATAAAATTGATCATCCGACATCAGAATATAACCATGACATTCCAAAAATAGATGAGGGAAGTGATGAAGATCTTGAAGATCCCTCATTTAATAAGATGCGTGATTTATTAAATTCATTAATACATGAAGCCACGGAAGCAGTGGAAGCACCAGTTAAAGGACGTGAAAAGAAGAAACGTGCACCCTCAACTACAAGTCAACAATCGTTTGACATGGGGGATATTCATGACATGCTTGATGAATTAGAAGAAGATGATGAATACGAGTATGAAGACTCAGAAGATGAGGAAGAAGAAGAACAAAATGAATCTTTAGATGAAGAAAATGAAGAGCCTCGAGGCAGAGGTTGTAAAAGAGAAAAGTCACATAAGCGACAAAAGAGTGTACATGAAGAAAGATTTGAACAAGGAATGTTGGAATTTAATAGGAGTATTGCAGATTTTTCCACGCTTGTTGATGCAATAACAACAGAAGATAATATGCAAGAATATGATCCTTGCATACAATATGTGGATCCAACTGACCAACTCATACAACATCCAAGTGAAGACCTTGCAAATCTTGACGATTTCTCTCAACAATGTCGCCTTCTTACACGTGCGCTCATTCTTCCATTCTTACATGCAACACACTCTTTTATGTCTGAATCTCTTAAGAATAATTCACCAAGAAGTATGACAAGTACTACCAGGACCTTTATGAACCTGATGTACTGGACATTTTTATTCACACTTGGATCATTGGTATTAGACGCATGGTTATGTGAAGTTGCAGGAAGACAAGTAATTAGAATGGTTGATTTATTAAAACCAGAACCATTTGGATTTATTTCAAATAATTGTGATCAAGTAGCCGGTGATCAACAAGATGGAGGGTTCGGGGTTTTGAATGACGGTAAAAAAAAAAACGTCAAATTTCGAACGGGCCCTAAGATAAAGTCCGTTACGTGGAAAGGTGTAGAGACGGGAGTTGTGGGTAGTGGAAAGAGGTGGTTGAAGGATGGAATGAAGAATTTGAAGCGAAAAGGTAGACGTTTGTTGACGAGTGGTCGATGGGATGGATGGGAAATATTTAGTAGGACGACGGTGGGACGGTTTGAAGATGAATGTAGTGATGATAGTGAAGAATGGGAGATTGTAGACTTTGATAGTAGCGATGGCGAGGAAAGCGGAACTGAGGAGGATGAAATTGAAGATCCAGCACTTGTTCTAAGACGTAGGATAACCAATGAACGATTTAGGCGTGCCGGACACGTAAACAGTATGATAATTGAAGACAGTGCAAAAAAGGAAATAATAAATGAATTGATTGAAACTGACGTGTCCACTATTACAGACCAATTAAATGATATGCAAGAAACAACAGATCCTTTATTTGAAAAAATAACAAATAGTTCACTTTTTCAGGAACCAGAAGAAATTTCAGATGATGATGTTAATTTAAATATACCCGGTTCATTTCCTTCAAAATTTAAATGGACGCCGCCACCTCCAATTGTCGATGTAACAGAAGTAACAGAAAATGTAAGACGAGTAATAAGTGTCGTACTACGTCGACCAAAACGTAATGGACCTTTTGGTGGTAGTGGTTCGTTTTGGGTAATGAAAACACGTAAAATAAAAACACGGAATATAACGAGTAATGATGTTACTTCTGCAGTCCTTAAGAGCTCAAGTTCTAAATCTAGTCCAATATCAAAGAAAAAGAGCACAAAATCACTACCAATTCCCAAAAGGACATGGATACGACGGAATAGTATATAGAATAGACCTAATAATTATTACATAAACAATTGGAACATTTGGTATGGCGTCGTTAGTCGCCGCGGAGGGTATTATTCTTGTATATTAAATTTTTTTTCTTAAAAAAAAAGGACACTTTAGACTTCCTTTTCTTTTTTGTATTTAGTTTTCTTTGCTTGAACTGAACCTTCCTACAATACTGGATTTCTTTGAATTTTTATTCTTTTGTTATGAACAATTTTGTCCTACAATTTTGTCCTTCTCTGTTTCGTTCTCTCTCCTTGCTATTATCAAAGCCTCACATTCTTTCATTCTTTATATATACATATTTTTTTGTTCACATTCTATTTTCATCTCATTAGTTTATTTATTATATTGCAATTTGAATGATATAGCTATCTTTTTCTTTCTTTTCTTTAAACATTCGTGTTCATAAAATTCTATATATAAAAGCACTACAAACATTCTTTATTTTCGGCTTTGTCGATGTTAAGTTTTTTCTTTTAAAATTTGTATCGTTCGTACATTTTTCGATTTTGTTCAAGGAATAAAAATTCTAACGGTTTTGTAGTTTGCTGTAACTGTAATATTAATTTGATATTAATTTGATGTTAATTTGATGTTAATTTGATGTTAATTTTACGCGACTTTTGATTTAATTACGCGTTTCTTTATTCAATGCCTATAAATTTGACATGTGCGCCACGATAATTGAATAACTATTAACCTTAATTACGGTCGTGCGTACGTACGTACGTCGTATGTATCAGAAGGTTTCAATGTATTCCCGCCACGCCAAAATTCCAAAACTGAACACCACAATTAGAAAAAATCGGCGTTTGAATACCGATCAAAAATGAGGTCGGCAAGCGCCGTTCACATATTACTGTATATATCAAAGAAAACATTAAACTCATTTTAGAACCTCTTTAAGGTTACATTTTTATGCGGTATCCACTTTTGACTTTCAAATGACATAAAAAATTTATTTAAAAAAAAGATTCTCCAAAGATGAAATGATTGAATGATTGAAATGATCTTATAAACCATCGCGAATCACACTACCGATATCTATTCTTGGTTCTTTTATCATCAGAACTCGAATAACCTTTTTGTCACTTGTTAATCAGCGTGCATATACATACATTAATATATATTATTGTTATTGGTAAATCGGTTTTACATCTCTTTTTGATAAAGACTATTTAGGTATCATTTGACTTGAGTATAAAAGTGTTGATTTAATATTTATTATTCGAAATGGTTTATAACACATGTCAGCAAACTTATCTGACGTAAAAGTAAATACTTTTTTTTTAAATGAGGTGTTTTATGGTCACAATATTATGAATTTTGAATGTGTACTTATGTAATACAAAAATAATAATTCATAACAGTAAACAAGTTACATCCAATTTTTTACGTATATAATAGCCAAATATCGTTTAAACCATTACTATATCCTTTTATTTTATAATTGTTATGGTTATATTTAACTATTAACAGTATCAGAAATAATTGACACTAAGAGAACGAGGCAGCCTCTTGTTTCAAATTTGTACAGATTGTACGTAGCATTTATGTGACCTGTCGTCCCATTAACATTTTTGTAAATGCATAATTCGCTATGATCATCTTCCGCTTTGCTCCGGGCAATGAATATACTTGTAAATCTAATCTTTTTGTTATTATAATAACCTATCTTGATTTTATTGTAGGTACCGGTGCGTACGTACGTTTGTATGTATCCACCTATTGTTCTTAACTTTTTGTATAAATAAATGGATATAAATAGTTACTTAGTGGTCTATTAGAATAAAGATCGTACAAATTGCGGTTGATTGTAATGCTAGTTGCGATAATTTAATAAAAATAAATTTATAAATCGTATCTCGCGACATGTATGCACATATATCGTATTTAGGTTGAGATTAGTCAATTTTGTAAAATGATTTTAAGAATACGTACGTACGTACACACGTATGTATGTAACGATGTAGAAGTTTTTATTTAACAATACATAGCTTATATAATATTTACAAAAAAAAAGTTTTCCGTCTGTTATACGTACGTACGGATAAAATTTTATACTACCTGCTACGTAAAACATTTTAACTTAGAGGAAAATATATAGTTTTAGTAAAATTTTACGTTATATATTTGTAATTAATTTTTACTTTATTTTTGGAAAAATATTATATATTTTGCTAAATATATACCTACTTTTGTCTTCTAGGTAAACACGTTTCGTATAAAAAATATATAGTATTAATACGTATAATTTTTATTTTAATTTTGCTTAAATATATATTAATGTATTTTTTTAATGTTTTATACGTATATGTAGTATTACATATATTAGTAACTTAGTGGTGGCGAAAAAGAGCGCAATCACATGATTGTTTTTGTCCAATCACATTACAAGATCAGGTGT